TCGTAGCCCATTGTTGGATCAGGAGTCCCCGCCGGAATCCAAACTGGTAGTATTTGGAAGACGGAGAAAAGCCGAGACCGCAACCGGCTTGAGCCAAAGGTCCACGGGGGGTGAATTGGGTGCCTGGCCGGGAACTGCAGGCGAAAAGATGCTGACAGTCATGTGGAGAAACGCCGCAATCGAGATAGCTGTCGGTTGTGGACGGGTCGAGGCGGCGTTGGTACTGGCGAAGGACCCTTGAGTAGCCACTGCTTAGTTGAGCCAAGGGATGTTAACTTAGTTTTCCTTCAAAAACGGCTTTCTGGTGAAGGCGCCGAAAGCCTGTCATGAAGGCAGAGCCATAAACGGGTAGATCCGAGAGCTCGAAAGACAGCTTCCTTATGAAGAGCTCTAGTAGACGGCCGAACGCTACGGCTAGGTCAGGAATGTGGCAATGCTGGTGATTAAGTTGGCCAGGTTGCGAACAGGTCTACCAAAACTGCTGAGTTAAGAGTGCTTTGTGAGAAGCGACCGGCAAGACATAGGCCTCTACACAAAGATGATCGATAGGTGCCATTTTATAGCAACCCGTGATTGGGCGGAGGGCGACGTTCTGTACTGACTCAAGGCAGTGGAGGCTGGAAGAGCTGATTGTAGGAGAACCGATTGGTGCCGCATGAGTGAGGTGCGGCTTGGCCAGCACTTGGAATGCAGTCGCCAAATTATCTTTCGCGCAGCCCAAGGATGCGCTTGCTAGAGCCTTGAGAACTTTGGTGCAACGTCTCACTTTGCCGCAATCTCTCTGGCATGGTCCGCAAACGTGAAATGTGGATCAACACGGACGCAAAGGAACTCGGGTTTATGGACGAGCGATAAGGACGCACCATTACCGATGATGGCCGGATGACGATTGAATTCCAGCATGAAAACAGTGACGGACGACTTGGCTGCCGAGATCGTCATCCTGCGCTGGGTGAAGAAGTTTTCGACATCAGGCATGAACTCCGGGAGGAGCTGCGCAGCCTGATAGATGTGATACTGCTGGCAGAAGGAGGTAACATCATCCGCGTACGATAGCAATTGCGCAGGTGCCAGATGGAGTGGGAGTTATCTCATGTACCTGCTGAAGAGCGTCGGACTGAGCACAGCCAGAGTTGGTCGCACTCCTTAGCGGTGTAATGTAGTGTTAGTATTTTTTCTGCTTAAACTAAATGAAATGATCCTTGAAAAAACTACACGCAGGGCATTGGTCGCGTACAAAACAGATTTCCTGCGTAACTGTCGAGGCCAGATATTTCGTGCATATTCATAACGTTGGTCACATTTATCAATGACATGCACGCTAGTTTATTTTTGATTTTTCTTCTTACCACACTGCTTTATCGTTTAGGTCATATTTCTTCATTTATTATTAGCACTTCGTGATATGAAAGAGGAGATTATGAAATGTTGATAATGTGAAGTCTGGTTTCACTTATACCAGTACAAATGATGATGTTCAAAAATCACAGTTTGCAAACTTAAAGTAATTCATCGGAACAGGTTTTTATTTAAGTTAACTTTTACAAGAAGTTGACCGTCTCTCAATTTTCGAATTGCGTGCTGTGGTTATCAGTCAGAGACTTGAATGAGTTTGTCGAAGCTTCAGTTCAGATCATCCTCTGGATGTTCTTTTTAAGCTAGTCTAACTAGAACAAATCTTGACGGATACACCCCAATTTAATTGGGCCATGTTGAGTGTGATTTCAGAAGAAGGAGCCTTGGCCTTTTATCAACCGAATCTCCTTTCGATTTGTGCTGTAGAACGGCGAGACTTTTTGTGTGAGGTATGTGGAAAAGCCTTTGCCCTGAAGGAAGGCCTGAAACGGCACATTGATGCCGTCCACAAGGGTGCGTACCTATTTTTGTTATTTCATTTTTTTGCTGTGAATGTCGTTAGGGCTTCTGCCTTATGGTTTTTGTTTGTTTGTGACGGTCTCATCTTCTCGCACGAAATTACATCTAGTGATCCGTTAAATATAGCTGTCCGATGCCTTGCACCGTTGCTCTCGCGTTTTGCTAAAACAGACCCCTGCGTCAGTATGTAGTAAATGTTATCACCTTCCTACTTTACATTGGTGTATTTTATATTCCACCAATTGCACCTCACCCTATTTACCCTCACCCCAAATGCTTCCGCTTAGAAGACTGGCAATGGCAAGTATGTCGTATGTGCTTGTTAGCATCTCCTGCATAGCATCTACTCCTCATTCTAAGTATGTCCGAGTTCTGTATTGATGGCTGGGACCTCATGTGCATAAAGACGTCATAAAGGCCACGTTGAGAGGGAACCGTGTGCA